TAATTGCCATCGTGAACACTACTGATTTTTGAGGTTATGTGCATCAAACGCCAAACCGTATCGCATTTCAGGAGGTTAAATGTTACTGTTTTAAAACCCCAAAAGGGCGGGAAGATATATAAAATTTAAATTGTTATTTCGGTTGTATCAAATCTAAAGCTCAGAACTTTTTTGTACACCTAATAAAAGTGACGCAGATAAAAAATAGATACTATAGTACTTCAGTTTGTACTTGAATGATAGTATATTGCAAATCTGATTGATTGGAAAGGTATCGTGTAATCCACCAATATAAGTATATATTTTAAGCAAGATGTATTCGATAATATTATTTACAACTGAAGACAATTTATTGCTTTAGATTTTAGATAAGTTTAGACAAATGCAGAGTTCGTATTGAAAAATACATACAACTTTTACATTTTAATAACCAAAAAAGGGAAATTAACAGAATTATATTTATAATATCGTGTGACAATACGATATTATGCTGGAAGAATGGGTTGTATTAAACGTTGATAGCAATAATATCGCACATCTTATACTTTTTATAAATTATATCACATAGGCTTTTATCAAAAATGAAATTAACGCTTAAATAATTCCAAATAAAAATATCTACGCTATAAGTAAAAGAATTAAGAAACAAAATATCTAAAAAGAGATTCTAAACACTTTGCAAGACAAAATAATTTGCTCATTATTTCCTATAATCTTCTAGCATTTAAAATAATCTCTTGAGAAAACAATATTTATTGTTCATGTGTAAATCCCACTCGGTCGTTCCCCATGTCGAACACAGTATAAAACCGAGTAAAAAATGGAATACCCAAAATCCATACATCCTCTAAATCATAATATTCCTTGAAATTTACAATAGGACTTGTACATGCGGTAAGGTTCGAATCATCGTTCTATAACAAATCGAACATGGCATGACATTTCATTTTAAAACAATATTTTAAAAAATATTATAAATTATATTAAGATGTATTTTTTAATAAAATAATATTGCGTCTGACATATTTGTAAAATATATCCAAATCTCTCTATATAAAATTAATAAGTAACCTTATAATTAAAACTGAATTACAACCAGAAAACGAAATTAACTATGTAATTTGCGAGAAAATTAGTATATTCTTTTTTACAACTGTTCAAATAAATGTAAAAATTATTATCTTGAAAAATGCATTTAATTTAAAATATTTTGCATGAATTTTCATGTGCTTTATCGCTTCTGAAATCATCAATCTGAAGATTCGTGGTAAGTGATCAGGAATTTTAACCTTTATTTAATGATATTTACCATTTTCGTATGAATGTAATCATTTGCAGTAAGTACGAATGGTTTACCACTCAGAACAAAAGTAACATTGGGCAACTCAGAAATCTGATTGCAGTCCACCTTTAAACAAAGTTTAAAACTACTAATAGTCCAGATTAATAAAATCAATATCATAATATTAATAAACTACAATACATTATTGACAACGGGAACAAATCAGACATTTATTAATTTATTCAGTAATTCATTCAGTAGCATTGAAAGAGGACTGCCATTAGAAAATTTATCATCTACTTACAATTATATTTCCATCATCAGCCCAATCGTTTCCAATCAGTTCAATTCCAACTCGTTTTAATGAATCCAATTCATTGTTAATAAATTCGATTTCTGATGCTGGTCCAGATAGCCCCGGAAAACCAGTGTGAGCGATAGCTTCACAGCCATCCACACAGAAACTCATATGTTTCATTTTTACCCTACAGCATTAACAGTTAGCTTGTGTATAATCCATTGACATATATAAATATGTAATTTAAAAAATAATTATATACTTATCCATGGCAAATTGCCAATATCCTTTGTGGGTTACATTAACATATGTGAACTCTTTATTGCTATACAAGGGGGCTAAACCACCCAATATCAGTTCGCTACCGTAATAATAATCTCTGTACAAATTTTGTTTTTTTTAATATTAAAAATATTGTTTATTAAACAAACAATTTTGTAATATAATAAAACGAATTGTTCAAGTAAAAGAATATTTTTAGGCATAAGAAGGAGATACGTGCCGCTTCAGAATAAAACTAAAAACGGGTGCCGACACTAGTTCTTGTTCAATCATATTGGTGAAAACGGGAGTTATTCCTTTTGTAGATATCTCTTGGTATCCCATTCCTATAATTCCGTCGTATGACAGAAAGGCAAATGTCAGATCCCGTGTTATCGCTACTGTGAATATTTGATTTTGAACATTAACGCCAGCAATCTATAAAATGGTGATAAGTGATTCTTCAAAAAAATTTTTACAAATTATAATTAAAATTAAATCGAACTGTTTGCTTGACGATAACCTACATTCACTACATCAGCAGATAAGTATCCAGTCAGCGCACCAACCGCGTAATCAAGCTCGATATAAGTACCAAATTCCACGTGACTTTGAGATTTACTGCTATTATAGTTTGTAGATGACACTGTACAAAATAACAGAAAATTAGTTGTTGTTAAACATGCTAAAAATAAATTTCTATTTATTAATTTAAAGATATACATGTTAACAATCCTTATAGGAATGAAAACATTTATTATTTCTTTGATTTGACATATGAATTGTATCAAAGATAATCACTTACACCTTTAAAATAAGCACGATGAATAAAATAAACAGCATATGATTGTAAGACTTAATTTCGTAAAATTTACCTTTATAGTTATTTTAATTTTAAAACTATTAAATTTCAAATTAGACCATAAAAATTATACTTGAAAAATATAAATTGCCTTCTTACCTATCCTGTATTTTTACTTAATGTCAGTCATTAAAAAAGCAATTAATATTATTTCTACATATGTAATAGTAATATTATTAAATATAAATGTGCTTGTATGTAAGTATAAATAACAAAATATAAGTATAATAGTATAAATGTGAAAATAAATAAAATAATGGAATATCGAAAAAAATATTATGTTATGATTTACATACTGCAATTAATATTATGAGTGTTACAGTTGATGGATGGTAAAAAAAAATTCGAGGCACCAGTATCGAAATGAATTCTAAACTCCTGCGGTGGGGTTCCAACTGTGATAGTGCCATAGTATCGTCTGTCATATAAATTCAACAGTCGTTTCTTTGGAATATCATTCAAATAATATGGTCGACCATCAATGGAAGTCCATAGACTTTCTATAGAGTTTGTTCTATATAGTGGAATTCTTAAAGCAATACAAAAAATTACATTATGTTATATATTTATGTATATGTATATATATATATATATATATAT